TTAGTTAGTTAGTTAGTTTGCTTGTTTTAATCAATTTTAAATCATGCTTTTTATTTGTTCTTGTTTCTAATGTTTCTGTAAAGCACTTTGAATCACCTTGTTGTTGAATTGTGCTATACAAATAAACTTGCCTTGCCTTGCCTATTCCTCTTTGAAAGAGGTCAGATTATAAATGAAGAAGCAAAGCGAGCAGCTAATACGTTCACTAGTTCTGGAAACTCAGACTATAATGGAAGCATACTGGGGATAGTGGGATGGATGTCTCTTCTTACCTGGTTCTCATTGTAAGGCTTACGGTGGTGGGAGGCGCAGGCACCGAGGATGACGATCATGATAAGAAGGGCTCCGCAGGAGGCCAGGATAGCGATCAGGGTTTTGTTATCGGTCTTTATCTGTTCTTTCTAGGAGAGGGACAAACAGAGGAATAAGTAGTTGCTGTAGAGGCCGAGGGTCCCGAGGCTGATCTAAAGAGCTGAATCCTCACCTGGGCGAGCTCGTCATAATACTGCTGCGCAAGGCTTTCGTTCACTGAAAGATCAGGATCACATTGATTGATTTCCAGAGAAAAATAATCTGCATTATAAACTCAGTGAATGTCCCCTTTCTGAACGGACTAGGATATTCTTTTACCTTTGCCATTTATCTCCACAGATTCGATTTTCACTGATCCGTTTTGGACGAGCCAGTTCAGGGTGCAGGATCCGTTGTCCATGCTCTCCATCAGCCTCTTGCACACTTTCCTGAAATTTTTCTCGCCATCTTTTTCCTTGGTCTGCGTAAAAATGACACGTCTGTAAATGCTGTTAAACAAAAACACATTGATGCACGCAGCACAAGTCCTTTTTTGTTTCATGAACCAGAAAGCGCTCTTCTACGCTGCCGTGCTGCCAGTGGGAGGACAGGAAGGTCAGAGGCGACAGCCAAGGCCGTATTTTCCTGTGTTGTGATGTGTTGCTTATTTCTGGTGTACTATTAAAGGGCACAACTGAGGGACTCAGAGGGTCAAAGCTGCTTCAAAAAGAGTTGTGGGAACAAAGGAAACTAGAGAAAGGCAGGAAGGGTTCCCACTAAGACACTTTTTCCACCCAGTGACTGAAATGGTTGTTTTGTTTTGATAGCAGGCTTCACTGCTCCACTCAGACAAAGCTCGCACGCCTAACAGATCCACCCAGCGCCTGTCTGAACACAAATGGTCATCAGCTGTTGAATCTTGTAAAGTTTCGAGGCTCAAAGGTAAAAAGTTTCAGTAACACCTGGAACAGTACGAGTGTAAGCACAGGAAATGCAGCGTGTGACTGTGCACCCACAGATCCCTCAGTGATTCGTGATTTTACTAATAAACTCTGCCCTGCATAGATACAGGTAACGGCATTCAGTCTGCAGGCTTCAAATGGATCAGAGCAAAACAAAATCTTACCTCCACGTTGCCTTTGTGGAAATACTGCAGAGAAAAACAACAAGCATCTCATTCAAAGGCACCGACACTTCTATTAGATGCAAGTAATAATGACAACAACATAGAAGCTGTGTGTGCGCCACTTCAGTGCTTACAACAAACTTCTGGGTGGATGTTGGAGTCTTGATAGTGACGGTGGCTTGCATGGCTGAATCTGTAGTTGCTGTATTAACTCCTTTTTTCACACTGAAGGAGGTGCTGGAGGAGATGCTGGAGGAGGTGATGGAGGAGGTGATGGAGGAGGTGCTGGAGGAGGTGATGGAGGAGGTGATGGAGGAGGTGATGGAGTCCCCTGGGTTTGTAAGCTGAGTGTTCGCTCTGGCCTCTCCAGGTACTATTGTAGATTCAGGGATTTCAGTGGAAACTTGGACCAGAAATAACAACAAGAACAACAAGAATAAGGAAGCGTCGTCGTAGTGATGCAGATCCCTCTGAGCCAGCCAATCAGTGACAGCCACGTCACATTTTAAGGTTTGGAGGAAGTATTAAAAGAACAAAATACACCACAGTCAACACCACCTCCTTTAACTTTCCAGCTACTTGAAGAACTGAGCAGATGGACCAACGCTTGTACAATACCAAGTTTAACAGGGTCAGGACTGTGTGTGGTCTCCGTCACATGAGGCAACAAATACTTAAAGTAGGAACACTCGAATAATGATCAAAAATGCAAACCATGAAAGACAGAAATACTGCAAAATTACTAAGGAATTATGAAGTACTTAAAAGTACGTAAAGTGCAAACTGCGTCTTCTTCCCTGTAAAATACACGACGTTAAAATCATTCACATGGTACCTAAACCTGCGCACGCCGTGCTTCCACCTGGAAACGAGATCTTTTACCCTTTTTCACAGCTGTTCACATCCAAGTTTTCATGTCATTGGAGCGCAGTTTGAACGCCACGCTCTCACAGTCTTATTTATACTACTTCAGTCAGGTTTAAGTATTTGTTGTGGTGTCTTCTCACTTTAAATGTGTCATTTTCAGATTCACATCCAGAGGACAAAAGTCCTTACCTGTGGGAAGCGTCTGTGCTGGAGCCCTGGATGTTGGTACTGTGGGGCTGTTCGTGCTCTCGCGTTGATCCTCGTTTGGTGATGACACATATGGTGCAGTGATTTTACTGGACAGAGAATATGTTGATGCCGTTACTGTGGAAGGCTTAGTGCTCAGCACTGATGCGGTGCTGGGGGTAGTGACTGTTTCTGATGGGGCTGGCGTGGGTGTAGCAGCCAAGGATGAAGTGGTGATCGCAGTCGTAGCCTCTTTGGTGGGAGAAGTGAGAGCTGCTGTGGAGCTTGTTCCTGCTGTTTCTGCTTTGAGAGTTGGTGTGCTCTGAGTTGGGATAGTCTGTGTTGTCTGCACTGCTGTGCTCTGTTTGTCGGTGTTATTCTGACTGGTAGTGACTCCCGCTGTTGCTGTTGTTGCTGACACAGTTGTGGCTGTAGTCTTTGTAGGTTCATTCCCATCTGTGGCAGCAACACTTGTGACATCAGCAGGTGTCCCAGTGGTTGTCTCTGCAGCAGTATCTGCATAGACGCTGTGACACAGAAAGCCTGAGGAGGAAAAGACACGAGCGGTTACCTTCACAGCACAGCTGCATGAGGCTCTGCATCAAACCCATCAAAGACAGCATTTTATAGACCTGCATTTGTAATAGTCACTTGGGGGCAGTACAGTCATATTAGAGCATACAGTAGAGAACTGCAGCCTAATATATTGGAGTATCCAGAAAATGCAGATCAAATAAGCACTCACTGTTTACCTGTGTCTATTTTAGTCTCCGCCTACTCTGAAGATAAATGTTTGGACCACTTCCTGCTAAACATCAGAGCTGGCGGTCTGCCTGCTCTTTGCTACTGACCACGTGGTCTGCTTGTAATGTAATGAACATTATCTGCTGCTGCTGGCAACAAAGGAGAAACTGTAAAGCAAAAGGAAAGTACGCATCATGAAAAAGCTCGAATCGAACATTTCTTTCTCTGTGCTGTTGTTGTTCACAGTGAGTGGAGCCGCTCTCCTCAGCTCGAAGCAGCTACTCCTGGATTTCCTGCTGTGCTGACAACTGTAAGCTATCTTTTTCTCTCGGTCTATTTATAGGGACGAGGACAGGATGCTGTACACAATAAACTTGGAGGCACCACACCCTTGACCACAGCCTGTTTGGAGTGCCCTCTGCGAACGCTCCTCAGCACCAAGAAAACAATGGCCTTATACACCCTCGTATGACCTCATGGCAGCTTCGCTCCATGCTCAGTCGCTGGAGTTTCACCATAGATCTCTGCTGATACATGCAAACACACACACATGCTAAATGAGAGACAATGACCAAACTGTCCTGAGTAGATAAGACATGAAACGAGGGGCTAACTTGTAGTTTAGTTTGCACATCGTGTTCATTATTTAATGTTTGAGCAGAAAGGTTGTGGCGTTTGTACGCTCACATCCAGCTTTCAGTCAGCTGACTCCTCTTTAGCATCGTCACTGTATAGAAACCAAGCAATACATTTCTTTCATATTGCAATATTGCATCTGTGTTTCAAGCTTCTTATGGCCTACAATTCAGCTTCAGTGTAAGTTTAGTAACAACAACCAGGTGCTTTGTATCGTAAGATAAAGACAATCCTGAAAACCCATCGATCAGATGACTCCAGTGAGCCGGGCGACGGTGGGAAGGATAAACTCCCTTTCAACAGGAAGAAAGCAGAACCAGGCTCAACTTGTGGGTTAGAGGAGGGACAGGACAAAGGACAGACTCTGGAACAGAGCCAGAGATGAATAATACCTAATGATTGAATCCAAACTGGTGCATAAACAGACAAACCAGTAAAGTGCCGTTTACATACAGTGCACGGCCCGTTTCCCAGACAAACGCATCATCACGTTAATGATCAGTTTGTTTGGTTCATTCTGAAATATTGCTCAACATATAATTTTGTGTTATAATATCAAGCAGATGTGAGCGGTCAGTTTACTCCGTGAATCTGCTGCATCCTCTCGGGCAGACGGAGGCTGGCAGAGCCGAGCCTGGCCTGTCTCCTGTCAGCCCGCTGCCTTAACACTGCTACTCAGAGACTAAGAGTGTCAGCGTTATCTGCAGCTAAGTCTCCTGACAGCAGATAACCTGCTTTTTCTTCACTGCATTTCAGAGTTTAGAGGCTCTCCTAATAGATGCTCGTGTGTTTTCTTACTTTGTGTGGCAGAAATTGATCCACAAATACAAAAATATCAATCAGCTGAACCACTGTTACACGAGTGCAGAGGCGAGGCCTGTCTGCACTGTTCGCGTCTTCATAATCCACGCATCCCCAGATGTGCTGTCTTGTTGGTCTTGACCCCGGCGACCCTGTCACTGATGTATCTGCTTCTTAACATGTGACGGCAGCAGCTAGTCCTGCTGTTATCTGCACCAAGCCTCTGTTTACCTCAGACACACATTCCTCACCACACACACTACCTGTTAATCACATTTAAACATCCACACAAAGAGCTCACACCACGAATCCCAAACGCTCGCTCACTATGTGAAACGATCTGCTCATTTTATTCATCATATTTTATTAAATATAGTACATAAACAGGTATTTAAAGTGGGACATTTTCTGTCCTTTCATGATAAATACTAACTCATTTTGAATTTGATGGCAGCCACACGTCTCTAAAAGCAACAAGATGAGAGAAAGTATGTAGAGCTTGAAAAAGAAGCAGGATGACCTGATTGGGTTTCCTGGCATCGTGGAGAGGGAGACGGAAAGATGCTCACTCAACCTAAACTAAACTGCATCTACAAATTGTGGAACTATGTAAAACTGTGAATATCTCGTCATCTACAGCACACGATGTCATCTAAAGATTCACGAGACAAGGCCACAGATGATTGTGGGACAGCAGTGATCTCCAGGAGACATAAAAACACGACTGTCATGGAAATCGTTGCACAGTTTGACAGACCAGCCACAAAAGAAGCCATGTGCTAATATTAATAAGAAAGGCCACCGTCTGTTGTGTTTGTTTAAAATGGACTGAAAGCTATTCTGTCGTGAAGCCTGACGTTTCTTTTTGAGGGAACATAGACGGCCCATCCTCAGGACTGTAGACTTTACAGCACATTCAGTGAAGCTGTAAATACATTGTTTGTATTAAATGCCAAATTTTGTATTTATATAAATAAAATGTCACAATCTTTCATTTGAACAGCTCTCAGTAACAGACGTCCTTTCCTGTGCTTGGACACTTGTCGAGCTCTGAATTTTAAGATATCACCTCGATCTGTTGCTGTTTCCTCTGAACATCTTCCGTCGTCTGAAGCTGTCTGACCTTTCTGATCTGAATTTTGTCATGGCTTCCATCAGCCAGCTGACTCTATGCTTCAGTGATCTGTCAGACATCACTGGGCGTCAGACAGCAGCCTGTGTGGGAAATGACCTGCTGTCCTTTCCCTGGCTCTTCTTTCTGGCTCCCTTCAGTGAGGCAAAACAGCTCAGTGATTTGGGACTTTGTGAATTTGATCAACATCAGTATATAAATAAATTTGGGTTACAGGAAACCCTGGTACCTGAACGACACACCAGTGCTACTGCAAAGGAAGAGCGCGATCAGGGCGGCTGCAGACGTGTTTCTGTCTGCTGAGCGTGTGTTGGTTTTTAAAGCCAATATTCATTTAGCATCAGTTTAGGAAACACCAGAACATCTGTACTCGGATACAAACATGTAAAGGCCGCATGCAGTGGGGTGAAAAGCTCCTTCTTCCTCAGTCTGTTCCAGGAAATGGGAAGTCTGAAGCACATTATTCCCCGAGGTGTTGCCTGAGAACCGGCTAGTTTGGGATGTTACCGACACCTTGCTGGGTTAAAGCAATAAAGCTCCGTCCCCTCCACGTTCTCATCACTCCAACCGTCAGCAGGTCATCTGTGCTGCTTTGGGCTCAAAGCGTCGTTTTTACCACAATATTTTATTTAGTAATTAATGTGAAATTTGGGTGTAGCATCATGACTGACAGCTGCAGAGAAACCTCCGCCCGTCTTTACTTCTGTTTAAATAAAACTTCAAACTGACAACATGAGGAAAAACCAACAGCCGAGTCATCGTCTTGGTTTTTCTGTCATTTTGATTTGTAAAGTGAGGAAAGGAAACGACTTGGCTACAGCAGCGGTCGTTCGCTGCGGCGTTTGCTACTCATGGTGTTTTAATTTGAGAACATTATCCGAGCACATGACTGAAACACCGCCTGTGCTTCATCTCGCTCCACTCACTCCTGGCTGAGAGAACATTTAATTGTTAAATAACTATTTATTAAATAAGTAGCTAACATTAAAGGGTGGTGGAGGATTTTTTAGAGCCATTCTTTTAGAAATGGAGCAGTGAAACAGTATGAAAGCGCCTCACCACACAGGAAATGGCTTTATTGGCAAATTGTAGATAAAACATTAACGGTCAAAGCAGTCTTACATGGATCAGTATTACTGCTCTAGACTTTTAACCCTAAATTCTATTTATTGTCTTTAATCTCCAGTAGTGTATAATATTCTATGTGATCATGTTTGTTGGCTGTCTTGTAAGGACCACACAGTCTACACGCTGTTTTTAAAAGGTGGATTCAGAGTATTAGAGCCTGATCTTAAGGATTAAAAATAAAGAGAAAGATTAAGGTGGCGTAACAAAACAGGACAGCAAACTTTGTGCCTGTATTTAACCAAGTGATTTATCAGAGAAATCAGTTCCATCAACTTGCTTGTTGTACTGACCCAAACATTCGCTGATGTCATCGAGACAGTTTTTAATAAACTGCACTCGAACTTGTCACCGAGGTTCCGAACATAAATCTCGATGTTTCCACAGATGCACACGTGGTAACCGAGCAGAGCCGTGACAGCAGAGCCACCATCGGCTCGTCCACCATGACAGCCTCCCATCATTCTCCTGTTAAAGATCAGCGGTTTGCCTCTGGCCTCGACAAACACCCAGCAGTGATATAAAGGATGATGCAAAAAGAAGGTTCATGACGAAAGCTGTTGGAGATGAAACTGGGGGTTTAAACTCGTCTGTGGGTGGTTGTCTCTGTGTTAGCCTGGCACCGTGGCCAGCGCGTCTCCACCTCTCACCCTACGGCAGCTGGGATTGGCTCCAGCCCTCCCCTGTCATCCCACATTTGATAAGCTGAAGAAAATGGATGGATGGTCCAGAATGTGTGTTTATTGTACTAATGACAGGAATTACATTTTTCTATTCTTAAAGTAACCAAACGCTTCATTCGAAGTTATTATGGACTGTATCAGGTGTTCATTTTTCACTGAATGTGCTGTCGTCTTTGGCACAGCTCCCATGATTTATGAAAACGTGTCTCCTGAGCAGCTGTTCACGTTTGTATTCCTGAAAACATTTCTCCTCAGAAAACACTGATTTCACTTTGTATTTATTTGTATAGCACCAAATGAAAACAACAGTCGCTTCAGGGCGCTTTATGTTGCAGGGCACAGACGCGACAATCATACAGAAAAACACTCAAGCCAGCACTTGGCGACAGTGGGAAGGACAAACTCCCTTCAAATACGTAGAA